TGCCTGCTCCGTGGGGAGGCGCGGACCCCGCTGGCCCTGCCCCGGGCGGAGAGGGCAACCGGGGACAGAGGAAGGGATGTACCTGGGGCTCCGCCTCAGGGGCCCCGAGCGCATCTGGGACCTGAAGGGATGGCCTGACCTTTGAGGTTGGGGACCGGACAGGCTGGGGGGGTGGGGACGGCTGCAAAGTTGAGCCCCAGGTGCCCTTTGTTGGGGGAGGACCCCCCTAGACCACACGCCCTCTCGCTGTCCTCGCTCTGGGTTTGTCCCTTGGAGGGGGGTCCGTGTGCAGGGAGAGTGGGGTCTCCATGAGGCAGGGGAGGTGGAGAGTAATGCCCAGCCCTGGGTGGTGTTTGGGGGTCTGGGGTCCAGGTCTCTGAGCCAGGTGGAAGGTGACCCATATTCCAGGAGCCCAGGAAGGGGGGGGTCACCTAGACGGTGGTAAAGCGCCCGCCCTCGGGAGGGAGGGAGGGAGGGACAGACGGGGTCTGGGTGGGGGTGGGGTCGGAGCGAGAAGTGTAAGCCTGGCATCGCCAGCAGACCAGGGGAGTCCGCGTGCCCAGAAAAGCCCCCACCCACCACCAGGAACCAGGCTTGGGGGGTGGGGGGACTTTGCTTTCGACTCCATCTTGCAGGGGAGCGCCAGCCAAAGCCCCCTCGGAGGGAGGGAGGGAGGGACAGACGGGGTCTGGGTGGGGGTGGGGTCGGAGCGAGAAGTGTAAGCCTGGCATCGCCAGCAGACCAGGGGAGTCCGCGTGCCCAGAAAAGCCCCCACCCACCACCAGGAACCAGGCTTGGGGGGTGGGGGGACTTTGCTTTCGACTCCATCTTGCAGGGGAGCGCCAGCCAAAGCCCCCTCCCTGTGCCAGAGGGTGCCCTGGGGCGCGGCCAGGGGTGGAGGACTGAGGGAGAGAGAGCTGGGGTTCCCTTCCCCCCTCCGCACCAGAGGTCCCTGGATGCTTGCCACAGAGAGGGGACTGGGCCCGCCCACTGCACCCCATTCTTCGCGGGGACTGGCCTCATCTCTGCTGCCCACTCAGCTCGCCCAGGGAGACGGGGGTGCCCACTCCTTGCCTGAGCTGCTGATTGGGTGACGGGTGGGGGGATTCGAGAATCAGACGAGCCCGGGTTTCAGGGCTCCTGGAAGGTGAGGGCCCGCCCAGGTCGCCCTCCCACCGCAGCGGGAGTGCCCGCCTGGCACACGGCCTGGCACACGGCCTGGCACATGGCAGACCTCAATGGGCAGCGGGCCGTGGAAGGCACACATGCCGGACACAGCTGAGGATGGGCCTGGCTGTCAGGGAGAGTCCCTCGGATTCCGGGTCCCCCGCCAACACCACCCCCACCCCAGGAACCTCTTGCCCCCCTAAAGCACCTCGTGGGGGGCTGGAATGGACTGGGGACAACCGAGGTTTGGGCGTCACCGAGGCTTGCCCATCACCAGTGCCACACTCTCAGACTTTCTACAAGTCCCTTCTTTTTTTAAATATATTTTTACTGATTTCAGAGGGAGAGAGAGAGAAACATCCATGATGAGAGAGAATCGCGGACCGCCTGCCTCCCGCACGCCCCCCACTGGGGACGGAGCCCACAACCCGGGCCTGTGCCCCGACCAGGAATCGAAGTGTGACCTCCTGGTTCACAGGTCGACACTGGACCGCGGAGCCGCCGGCCGGGCTGGAGTCCTCTCTTGCCTGTAACTGGGCTGCTTTCCGACGCCCTGTGAGCATCACCTGCCCTGAGCCCAGTGTCCAGCGAGCCCGGGCCCAGCTCATGGGGCCTGGAGGCCAGGGCGGGGGGGTGCGGGGCAGCTTTTATTCCAGCTGAGAAGTGCCAGGCCCAGGGCTCCAGGGACCAGGGCCAGAGCCGCTGTCCTGTCCGCCGGTCCCTGCAGAGGAGGCCCGGGCTGGGGCAGAGCCTGAGGGACACTTTCAGGACCTGGGCTGTGGGGAACGGGGTAGGAAGATCTAGGTGTGAGCCACTCCCCAAAGCACCCCGCCCCAGGCCTCCTGGATCCTGGCCCCTCGGCCCCTGCATCCTTGGCACCAGGAGACAGCTCCCACTAAGACCTTGATTAGTGAAGACTCTAATTTGAAAGAATCTTGGAAGAATTTCATCTTGTTTGACTGTTGAATTCCCATAACCAAAAAGCTTCAAATAAGTCCAAGAAGCTCTCAACATTAAGAATCTACAGAATAAACAGCTTATACTACTTGCTCTCTTATGTGGTTCTGATTACACATTGTTTATAATTTAATAATACTTTATGGTTCCATAGCAGATTATAGTTTTCAAAATATTTTTACTAGAATTATATAATTTAATCCTTATAGCAACACTATAAGGCAGTCATGATGATCACTCAGTTGTAAATTCAGTTCGGCTCAATTCCATTGAACACTTATTGAGCACCAACTATGTGCTGGCATTCTGCTAGCTACTGAAGTTTAATTTTCTTCACACATAAATGAAGAGAAGACCACCCAAATGAGAATAAGCAAAGGTAATTTATCCAGAGCTTGCTATGGAAAAGAGTCAGCTACCATCATTTGTGTCCATCATTTCTG